ACAATATACCTTCTCTGAATATACCACATGTCACTCCAGTCAATCTCATTATAATCAAGACAAATTTTCAGACATTCTTTAAACAAATGGCTTTAACAAAACATTGCAGTTTTTTTCTGTCCTCAAAGGAAACAAATTGATGAATCAACTAAATCACAGCTGATCAGAACATATTTTGATGTTTCATAGTAATGTGAAGTGAAATGATTTGAGACCAGTGAGATTTCAGTGTGGGTGGATCTACGAGCAGGACGTTACAGAAACCAAAACCGTCGCTGCATGCATGGATTCAGATGATTAGATGGACAATGTGATTGTTCACACTGATAAAATCGCCAGTCACAGTGTGCTATCATGCAAATATATGTTTCTCCAACGGAAATAGTATCCCTTTCTACAGATCCTCCATGAAATAATACGGAAAACAATCAGACAGAACAATTGTGTGCGTCTTATTGAGAGTTCAATGAAAGCTTTATATTTCTCTGCAGGCTGCGTCTGTCATTACAGTAGCCCGCTCTCCTTCGGACCACATTTAGATGAATTCAGGGGGGCTTTTTTACCTTAAGTGGGCCCATTATGTCATTAAGTCTTTCTGAACTGAGTGTAATGCATTCAGCGATTGCAATGAGGGTTTTACTTTGTACCTAGCAAGGAAAGAAAGAGGTGTGTGCGCACGCGTGTGAGACGTTGATCTCTTAATTTCACTGTTCAGACAGGGCACCATATTAGAATAAGGTTTATGTGTGCTCTTTACTGTCATATGATATGTGATCACACATCTTAAAGGGTTAGTTCACCCAAAAATGAAAATTCTGTCAGTATTTATTCACCCTCATGTTGTTCCAACCCCGTAAGACCTTCGTTCATCTTCGGAGCACAAATTAAGATATTTAAGATATTAAGATCGCTCCTGCATACAGTCCATAGGCTTCTTGAGGGACTGGCTCTTGCTGTCCTCGAAAAGTCATTAAAGACATCGTTAAAATAGTCCAAGTGACTACAGGGGCTCAATCTTAAGTTTATCAAACGACGAGAACACTTTTGTGCGCAAAAAAACAACAAAAATAACGACTTTATTTCAACTATTCGTTTATTTCTCCCTCTGCGCGAGTCAGGTTACTAGTTTAATAGCGTAAGCTTCTGTTATTGTACGTCACACGCATCACACACATGACCAGCGTCGGCCAATAGTGAGCCTACGTGTGACGTAGCTCTACGCAATCACACTACGTTAACTGACTTACAGGCTCATGGAGAAGGAAGTGAATAGTTGAAATAAAGTCGTTATTTTTGTTGTTTTTTTGCGCACAAAAGTGTTCTCGTCATTTGATAAACTTAAGATTGAGCCCCTGTAGTCACTTGGACTATTTTAACAATGTCTTTAATGACTTTTCGGGGACAGCAAGAGGCAGTCCCTCAAGAAGCCTATGGACTGTATGCAGGAGCGATCTTAATATCTTAAATATCTTAATTTGTGTTCCGAAGATGAACGAAGGTCTTACGGGGTTGGAACAACATGAGCGTGAGTAAATACTGACAGAATTTTCATTTTTGAGTGAACTAACCCTTTAAAGATGAACTGAACTGAAATTTGAGAAAAGGTGAAATTTGAGAAAATGATTTTCTACCCTAGTTTTAAAAACGCTCTGTTTTTATGGGGGTCTCGCACTGAAGACTTGGAAGTAAACGCCCACTGCTGTGAGTGGATAACAGTTTTGCATATTATAATGAGTTTCACTCTCAACCCATTTGTCATCACGAGGTAGGTATCTATGTTATTTAGCTATGCGTGAATGCGCGAGTCGGTGGGCGGGGCTAACCCGGTCGTGTTGAAGTTGGCGTTGATCTTCTTCTGTGGGGGTGGTGTTTTATCCTTTTTGACGTCATAGTTCCCAAGTTTGAAAAACGAGTCGTTTGCTGAGGCTGGTGTCAATAAAAGCTTTTTATTGGACTAACAAGCTAATATATGATGACCTCTTAGATGTCAAAAGCTCAAGGAAAATTTGTTTTCTCAGTTCATCACCCCTTTAAAAGGGATAAAATGGTACCTTGAAAATGTTGTTTTTGTTTAGCCCGATCACACCAACGAACACACCGATCCAACGAACTAGCACTGTTGAAAGCCGACTGTGTTGTCGTCTCTCGTCGGTGTAAAAAGCTGCACTTGAACACACCGAGAGAACTAGCCGACTGTCAGCTATAATGTGCGTTCTGCGCCTGCGTGTAATGAGCCAACTGTCTATTTCTGCAGATATATTATATTAGTCTATTTTCGTCATTCAAAAAGGAAAACCGACGCTGCCAGCTGCAGATACACATACCGTAAACAAAGCAGCGCGTGCTTACCGTTTTGAATATCAATCCTGCTAAACGCTTTCTTTATTTCACTCCGCTCATGTTAATATTGAAATATTCGCCAAGGAATACTCAGGTAAGATGACGTAACATAAGAACAGCTTTCTATCTTTACCGTTTTGACTTCTTTGCTATTATTCTTATGCACTGACTCTTTCACTAAGCCGAACAGCCAATCAGAGTTATCTCTTTCCCCGACGGCCCAACGCCGATTCAACATGTCAAATCGGGCGAAACCAAGCCAACGAGGACTATTTTCAGCCGACGGCACGGAACCGTACGGAACACACCGAGGAAATTTAGTCAGCTGACACACAAAAACTGCCCGACAGCCGACCGTCGGCTTGGTGTGTTCCGGGCTTTACGCGGGCGCCGCCATGTTGGATTTCATCACTGGCATGGTAAGCTACTCCGTTGCCTACCCTGTATTTTTTTAGCAACAGACTATATAAAGATATGTACTTTCTACCCGGTCTCATCCCAAGACGTCATATAACTGACGTTTTGGGACGTCTTTTGACCATACGTCAATATTCGCCTTTTTAGGGCCCCCTTAAACGTCGGTAGATGAGGTTATGGGATCCTAACTCTACCCCAGACCTAAACCTAACCCTAAACCTAACCCGTCACCTAACTGACGTTAAAGGTAAAGCGTCAGTTGTATGACGGCCCGGGATCGCCATCTAGCGACGTTTAAGGGGGCCCTAAAAAGGCGGATATTGACGTATGGTCAAAATACGTCCCAAAACGTCAGTTATATGGCTTTTTGGGATGAGACTGTGTTAGTACTTTCCTCAATGAGTACATAAAGCGTCGAACAATGTCTGCATCAAACGTTTTATTTAGTCAAGTTACAAGTTCAACGTATAACGTTACTCAAATCCTTGATATTCGGCTGAGGGGAAAAGATCCCCGATGTATAGTTGATGGGATCGGAATCCTATTCGCCCATAGAGTGAACTGCCAGTACACTTTTAACCTAAACAGTCTGAGAAACGGATAGGTTAGCCTAGCCCTGTCGCCAATTCAAAAAATACCCTGCTACATATGGGGTGCTCCAGTGTCTCAGCTCGGACATCCATCAGAGACAGCATAGATATCCTCCAACACATCTCTCGCACAACATCTGAAATGAACGGTGCATGCCATGGTGACGTCCTCTATGTGGTGGTAGTCAGAAACTACTGGCCTGTCCCTCAAATATGTAACCCATGCCCAGTGTTGGGAGTAACGCATTACAAAAGTAATACATTACAGTAACATATTACTTTTTGCTGTAACGCAGTAGTGTAAGGCATTACTAATCAATTTTCAGTAATATTTTACTCGTTACATGTTCAGTGAGGCTTGTATTACAGTTGTATTACAGTGTATTGTCTGCTTTTATTTCTTAAAGGCAACAGACTATGTGAAAGTTTTAAAGCAGTCTTTTAGTGCCAGTTCAGAGCGGTCGCGTCTGTAACATTGTTTTTTCCTCATAAATGCGAACACGAAAACTAAAATAAAATGAATATTTTAAGTTCTATGGAGACTGGAGAGCCAACCCTTCCTCATCTGATTTACGCAGTGTAATTAACAGAATTACAAAAAATATATTTTGCCTCCTATTTTTTTGTCACGCATGAATACAGTGTCTTTTCCCTAATATTAAAAATAAAACATAGACTGATATTTGTCTAATGTCTGGAGTCCTTTAAGGAAGTAGCCTATATACGTTTCAATACATGTATTTTCGGAGAATTTTTATTTCAAGTTTTGACTGCAAATGTCATGTCCATAAAGCTGGACTCCCCCAATTTTAAATAATTTATCCTCAACTAGTTTTGTGGTGTAGGTCTACGTATTTTATAATGTTAACTTCAAATAATACTAATAGCCTAATTTAAAGATAAGGCAGCAGTGGATATGGACGGTAAGGAGAATAACGCTGGAGTTGGAAGAGGTGTGTCGCGATTCTGTAGGTTCGTGGATCTGAGTCGTGTGGCGAATCGCGATTTCGGTTTCATATTGCATATCGTTACAGCCCAAAAGTTAAGTTCTAATTAGTTATTTTGGTGAAAGTAACTCAAAAGTAATACATGAGTAATGTAACGCATTACAATTCTGGGACAGTAATATTGTAACGTAATGAATTACTTTTAAATAACAGTAACAAGTAATACCCAATGTATTACAGTTTGGAAGTAACTTGCACAACGTTAAAAGTGCTCATTTTTGTCTGTGTACATAGGACCTGCAGCTGTTGTCTATACACCTTTGCTGGTCCTACCATGCCAGTGAATTGCCAGCGGTCTTATACTAACAAGCACAATTTTTGTGTTGCTTAAAAAAAGCTATATTAATATTTTTATTAAAATTTGTAGTGTCATTTACTTTTAATTGTCATAACACGTTTTCAACGTCGATTTTCTTCAGTTTAGTTCAGTTCATCTTTAAAGATGTAATGTCTTCCACAGTGCAAACATTATATGGCAAATTAGACAAATGATTTAGTCTCTCTTCATCTAGTAAGCTGTTGCTGAAGGGTGAATAGAAGGAGGTTTCGGTTTAATGTGCTTTTCTAAAAATAAAAGACAAAGGGTGAATATTTTAACAGTGTGAGCATTTCTGTGGGTCATTTATTCACACAAACACACACTCACCCCTGATGAAGGGTATGCCGTCCACCCGAGCTCTGCTGTGGCGGTCCGGGTGTCCATTAATGTTTCTGAAAAGCAGACAAAAAGAAAGGTTCATTAGGAATTGAATATTCCATTTACTAAGGAATAAAATAAATCATATTAAATAAATCAATTAATTAACTAATAAAAATATATTATTAAATAAAAACATTTTTAAATTCATGAATATTTATTAATAATACTACTAATAATTACTGTTATTATATAATTATTAAATATTAATTCAATCAATCAATTAATAAGGACTGAAAAACACTGGTTTAGAGTAAAAAAAAAAAAACTCTACAGTGCCACTTTTGCACCCACAATGGCCTTGTTTTTTTCTGAAGACAGATCTAGGATAAGCTGTCTGTGTCCTTTAAGTGGTCAAGCTCTTGTCTGACATTATCAAGGGCGATATCTTTGACCAGCCGGGATAATAATCCACATACACACACTCCACAAAACACAGATAAGATGGACACAAGTGATAGAAACCCTGGAGTGAAACCTGCTTTTTCCATCAATGACCATAAAAAGCAGAGGAAACACTGTAAGGGAAGCAAATGCCGTCCATTTTTTAGAGTTTTGTAAGTATATATGAGGGCTATAAGGACTAAATGGAAAATATCTAATGCTACAACTTTTTAAATTTTCCAACAGCATAAAAATTTAATTACACCATATTTTTAAATTTATTTATTTTTTTCCACTGACTTAATATATTATTGGAATTTGTGTGCCCAGATTGAACATCAGATGTGATAATAATGAAAGAACAATAACAGGAAAACACACTATTTTTGGTCAGTCCTCAACCTTGCATTTACAATTTCTGCTACAATAGCAAAAATGCACAATTGAACTCAGCACCTTTTTTTCTTCTTGCAATGAACTACTTCATATTCATAATGAAAAAAAAATAAATAAAAAAAATCAGAACTATAATAATTCAAGAGAGGACACATATTAGCATAAATATTAGCATCAATTACACTATAGCTCATCACAGATATGAAACAGTGTGTGTTTAAAATTGAACATACAATGTCTTTAAATCCCTTTATCAAACTGAAAACCGCTGGAACCTCAAAGACGCACGTTTGATAGAATAACCTATTTTTTTTACCGTTTTTTTACCGTTTTTGATATTGTTTGTATGCTCATGTTAAATTGCATGCATGAGTAGTTGTTTAAAAAAAAAAAAATGACACACACATGCTCTGAACACTGCACATCATGTCAGTCCAGTGCTGTTGACTTCAGTTCTGTTGCGCTGTAGGGGCCTCCTGCACTATGGCATCGTCGTTCAAGTGCCACACAAATTTCTGAAGCCAAACCACATCAGTGTAAACGGATCAACATCCAACTCTCAAACCCACCAACGGCCATTCCCCTTCTACCCGGTCCCTTCCCTCTGGGTCCATCACACACACATACACACAGACGCATGGCATGTATATGACGCACTGTGACTTAATTGCATCCCTGTGTGCTCCCGCTCGGAGCGAAGCCTGTCACACCGGGATGGTTATAACTAACGAGTGATGTCACAAGGGAGAGAAAAGATTAAGAATATCCGCTCTTTCCACAAAACAAAATCTAACGCTACGCACCGGAAGCCAACTGTCATTTCCACTCTCTCTCTCAGCGTCCCTCGTATCTCAATCTCTCTGGAGTTAATCATACGCTCTCTTCTTTGATTTCTCTATATTTCAAGAGAAAGAAAGAGAAGATGATGAAGTAAGAAAGGTTCGCTCTCTTTCGGATAAATGAGGAGAAGCAGATGACAAGCACACTTGAGCTTCCAGCTAAAGTATTCATAACATGATGTACTGTATAATTCTTTGATAACGTGCCTCTCCTCCCCTAGAGTCAATAACTCACCGCCGGCTGATCAAGAAAACACAGTCACTTGTGAATCATAAACCTTATTGTCAAGCGCTTGAGTAAAGCATCAATAAAGCCCCTAAAGTTTTAATCCAAGTCAGTGGCAGCCGGTAATGCCCAGTTAACTTCCTTAAAAACAACCAATTACATTAAAATCAAAGATTTTCAGTCTAACCAAGTTCATTCTCTGTGCGCAGGCAAGTTTCGAACCAAAAGTTGCACACTTTTTAGGCATCATTAGGCATCAACTCACTATAGCCGTCTTATACTGTTTTCTCTCCAACGTATCATTATTTATATTTAGTTATATATACACAAAGCATAACAAATAATATTCATATATATATATTCATATTCATGAAGAGTTCAGATGCAAAAGCCTCTAAGTGCCATTTGAAATCTTCTTCTAGAATGATCATTTTTTATCAAGCTTGTATATTTAAGTTCAGTGATTTTACTTAAATGGCAATGATAATTACCTATTAATTGTTATTTAAGTGAAATTTCTAAGTTTGATAAAAAATCATCATTAAAGAAGAAAATTTCAAATGGCATTTAGAGGCTTTTGCATCTGAACTCTTCATAAATATATATATACGCACTGTATATATGCACATATACACACACACCTATATATATATATATATATATATATATAAACAAAACACACCCGCAAGCTAAATATTTGAATACAATTTAATTTAAAATCAAATGATGTAAAATAAAATAAAATTTCATAAACTACACTCTAAAAAAATGCTGGGTTGTTTTAACCCATCTTTGGGTCAAATATGGAACAACTCAGCCATTGGGTTAAATGTTTTAATTACATTTTTAACCCAACATTTGCGTTTGTCCATATTTGACCCAAATTTGTGTTAAAACAACCGAGCATTTTTTAGAGTGTATGATTGAAATAAACAAAGTATTTAAAAAAAAACTGCTTACAGGAGCTTTTACATAGCGGTAGATCAAATAAAGGTTGTTACATTAACACATCGAATGATTTAGTTGTTATTGATCGGTGATGATTGATAAGCCTCTGTTGGGGATAATAAGCAGAAGATCATTCATTCTTTGATCAATTATGACATGACTGGCTGGGAGAGCGGAGAGTTAAGAGCCAATCAGAGATGCTCTTTACTGGTGTGGGCGGGGCACAGAGTGATGATTGGAAATATTAAATCAAACAGACTCAAATAGAAAAAAATGCACATTTTGGGTTGGCTCGGTTATTAAAATCACACGCCATAATTCAATTTCTCTAAATAGCACAGCCTGTGCGCTTTCTCCAGCAGCTGGTGTCTCAGAGGAGACAGACCTCTGTACATTACTTCCCTCAGGAGATCCATCCTCCTCCAGAGAAATCACTCTGTCTGTGTGTGAGAGGAGAACCGGGTGGTAGGTTCAGAACTTAATGGTTTTTGAGGTCATATCAGCTTCAAGCTCATATGCAACATGCGGCCTATGATAAATTATCATAATGGCACAAAGGGATCATGGAATCTCGTTAGGATGCAAAACGCCAACAACGAGATGCAAAATGGAGGCCACCGCAACAACCAGAGAGTAAGAAGGTGCAAGCATAGAGTAGATCACATATTACAAGTATGATAGTAAAGTCAAACTATAGTGACCCTCTTTAGCTCTGTCGTTTCACACAAAATATTATAACAAAGTTTGAAAAAAATGGATATGAAGAGTTCAGATGCAAAAGCCTCTAAGTGCCATTTGAAATTTTCTTCTAGAAAGACCATTTTTATCAAGCTTGTATATTTAAGTTCAGTAATTTCACTTAAATGGCAATGATAATTACCTATTAATTGTTATTTAAGTGAAATTACTGAACTTAAATATACAAGTTTGATAAAAATCATCATTAAATAAGAAAATTTCAAATGGCACTTAGAGGCTTTTGCATCTGAACTCTTCATATGAATCTTGAATCCTAATTAAATTAGTATTTTAAAGTGGCTGTGTAAGAATGTTGGTGTCTTATTCGCTTTTTGTATTGCCAATGGAAAGGTTTCGTTATAGCTATATGGACAGAGACCACCTGTGCAGAATTCAATTGTGTCCGTTACGTTTTCCGGTATGTGCCGACTCGCGTATGATTCACTCTCTGGAACGGAACAGACTGTGTGCGCTGAGGTGGTTCGTGTGACACTAACGAAAAATGTTTATTCGCCCTAATTGAAAGGATATTTACACTATCTGAATCATTCCCTATCCCCTATATAGTGCACTAAGTGTCATTCACCATGTAAAAAATAGTAATTGTGTGAAATATTGACAGATTTCAGCCACAGCTTCCGCGTCTATGTATAATGTAGGAGGTGGGACACTTCAGATTCTAGGGATCGTTTGATTGGACTGAAAATCTGATGAGAAGCTGAAGTGCAGATTGATATCATTGATCCATATTGGCAGAAGTGAGAAACTGTTATAATGCTTGTATCTTCTAAAAGCTAATTTTGTCATTGATTTGGAGCACATATACTGTAGCTTATAGATAAGCTAAAGTATGGGTAAAATATTCATGCGAAAAACAAAAAAGCACTTAAATTGTGATTTCATGGGGAGTTTAAATAAGCAGTGCCAACATCTGTGTCATATACAGGTTTGTAAATGATGAGGGCTTATGTGTGTGTGAACTACCCCTTTAAAAGCTTAGCTTGTCAAAAGCCCACTCTCATCCTTAAGACATCGATTGCAGTAAATGCATCTCTAAAACATACTGCAAACAAACCCACCTATCCTAGAGCCCAAGCTTACTGGTTTAATTACGCAGAACTTCACTCCCAAAACCAGCAGAGCCACAATGCAATAAGCAGAGAGTCCGTTTTAATCAGAAATGTGGTCCTGAGAGCCTGAGTGATGTCACAGGCCTTAAATAAAGCTGTGTAAATAGGCTTATTCATCTGGCTGGGTCAGAGTGCTGACTTCCATGACAGTGACAGTGGAGGAATAACCTTCACCACGAAAACAGCCGCATCACTCACCCATTGGCAGGCGGGGTCAATAACCCACAACCCCGAGAGCGCTCGACCCCGTCTCTTTCTGCCTGTCGTATTTACACTAGGCGTTCAGGGATGAGACTTTAATATTTAATACAGGATAGTGCCAGTACAGAAAGAGCGCATTAAACATTGA